ACTTGCATTCGCTTCAACAAACCGATACTATTAAGCAACTAGCTTTTTCACTTATATCAGACAACATGGAATAGAACCTTATGGTCGAGTGGCGAATTGACTTGGAAAATAAGTATGGACCTTCTGCCCTGAGGCATGACATGTTCTGGTAGTCGAGTGTCATTCGATCCTAGCGACTATAAGTAGCACCTTGGGACTTTTCAGTTGAAAACCCAATAGACAAAACTTTCTTGATGAATATATCTATATACGAAAATTAGTTGGGCGGTTTAATTAGGCTAAGGTATTACTGGTTTGTATATTTTAGTTGATTTGTAAATCTATAGGATTTAGTCCAAGATTTCAGTCCATGTTTACTAGGATCACCCAAAAATAGGTAGAGAAAAAAGTATGAGTCCTATGCTGCTGATATATCGAAAATAGGTAAAGGTTCTAATAAAATATTATATCAAACAGTTAGTTAAACTAATTTTTTTCCTTGTGAATCGTATTGTGACACGTCTAACTAATTACACGTCATAAGATAATCCGCTCAAGTTGAGTTTCTCTCTCGTTCTAATCAACTTTTAATTTCAACTAGAAAATACGAACAAAAAATATATTAAAAATTGGGGAGGTTTACTAGAATGACCTTGTCAAGCAAAGATTTGGACTAGAATGACNTCTATCTTTGAATATTATTAGAATGACCTTGAAAAANNTTTAATTCCTATGTTAACCTTATTTCATTTGAAGACAAAAAACGTATTTACGAAACTGCCATTNATGAAGCNGAAATTTTTTCCCGCCAAAATTAAATNAGTCTACCATTCTGTTACNGTANACTTATTAAACGTCTGGTAGACTTATTACGGTGTACNCGATGGTAGACTTATTTATAGTTGTGGTAGATTTATAATATGTGGTAGACTTATTCGTAGTACTGGTAGACTTATTTGTAGTAGTGGTAGATTTATGAAGTGGTCGGTAGATTTATTACGGTGCAGGCAGTGGTAGATTTGTTTATAGTAGTGGTAGACTTGTTGTAAGTTGTGGTAGACTTATTGAGTAGTTACGGTAGACTTATGCGTTGTAGTGGTAGACTTATTTATAGTTGTGGTAGATTTATTTTTGAGTGATAGACTTAT